TCTGCCTTCAAGGAGCTGTTGTTATTCACATTATAGTTCATCCCTTTCAGCTGTGATGACCAGAAAGGGCAGCAGGAAGCATACATATCTTGGGTATGTTGAAAAAATCCTAAAAAATAGGGCTCCTGACCCCCAGATCCTCTAAAAGACCTGAATTCAATACACCATAAATCCCTTTCCTGTTCTAATTCCTCTCCCTCCTCACCCTGCCTTCCTATCCTTCTTCAAAATCCCTTTGTCTTCTTGAGGTTTTCTTTTCCTTTGGGGGAAATTGGTTAAAAAATTCTATGCCTAAGTCAAATTTTGTGAAGTATCTTCCCCCTTCACCCTGGTCCCTGGACCTTTTGTGAGCTTCTCAGCTCTGAATTAGCTGGGAAGAGAAGACAGATGGCCCCTGAGGAGACAGTCAGTGAATGATACCCAGCCACAGAGGTATGTGATAAGGGACAGATGGCAAGAACTGCAGGAGGTCTGTGTTTTGGGATGGTCAGGGAGGTTGTATCTGAGTTGGCCTGTAAAAGCTGAGTAGAATTCAGATGGAAAAAACAGCAATGGGCAGATCAGTGTGAGCAAAGTCTCTGCCTATCACAGTGGAAACATACAGTGTATATAAGGTAGCAGCAGGAGATAAGGCTGGAAAGGTTGGGAACCGATTACAGTGCGCCTTAAATGCCAGATTGAGATGTTTATACTTGGAAGCACACATTGGAATGGCCTGAGAGATCATCTGTGAAATCCAGAATGAAACCTAGAGTTTATCTACAATCTTCTCATTCCACAGATGAGGAGACTGAGGCCAAGAGATAGCAAATGACATGGTTTTCCTTCTCTGATCGTTATCTTGTCGCCATCAAGGAGTCAGAGGATGCTCCTCAAGAGTGGGAGGGGCAAGAGGGTAGGAAGGATGTTTCCAGTCTCTCCCACATCACACTATGTCAGTGGCCCCTATGTCTCAGAGTGACACATCCCTTTGGGTATGATTCTTAGGCAAGAAAGTAAGTGGGACCACTAGGTGGCGCAGTGGATAGAGCACCAGCCCTGGCGTCAGGAGGACATGACTTCAGGTCCAGCCTCAGACACTTGACACTTACTAGCTGTGTGACCCTGGGCAAGTCACTTAACCCCATTACCTAAGCAAAAAAAAAAATGAAAGTTAGTGTGATGAGGGGTAAGAAATCCTGGGTTGGAAATGAAGGGATATGTGATCTACTTCTTGCTCTGTCACTGAATTGCTGTATGGTCTCTGGCAAATCACTGAGCCTCTCAGAGCCTCCTTGTCCTCATCTGAAATGGACATAATGGTACCTTCCCTCAGGGGGCTGTTTTGAAGCTAAGATAATAGATGTTGGTACTTTCTTAACTAGGAATTATATGGATACAGAAGTAGAGGCATAGCTGGACAATTTCTGTGAAAGAGATTTTAATGAACTATAATTCCACAAATATTTACTACAAATCTAAGATGAGTAAACAGCGTTGTATGGAAGCCAAAAAAAAAAAAAAGAGAAACCACTAATATGTTCCTTTTGCTGTACTTCGGCCCCCCTGAACCCTATATTGGGTTTGAGGTATATTTAGGGTATAGGTCAGTCTTATTTGACAAACCCTGCACTGATGTATTTCTTTTATAAGCTAACCAGAGGACAAAGAAAAAGACATTTAATTAAATAAGCATTAGAAGATAATAAACAAAAAAGTTTTTCCTATTAACATAGATCAGGCCTGTACAACATAAAACTGGTGGGCCCCTTGTGGCTTACCAAAATGGCCCCGGGCCATATGTTGTACAGGCCTGCTTTTATGCAAATCCCTCAGCACCACAGACTATTCTAAGTTCCCTTAGGGCAGGCCTGCACAACACACATCCCTGCTGCTTTGGTGCACTGCAAGGGACCCATGGGTCCCGATATGTTGTGTCGGCCTGATGTAGATGTACACTCTCCTACAGGTTACCACACCACCAGCCGGGGAGTGACTAGAAAGCATTTTACCAGGGAATATGCATAGCTGGAAAAACATGTAGCCTGTGCTCACATCTCTGGACCAACTCACACTAGGGATATTTAGCTTGAATGAGAGAAAACTTAGGGTAACTTGATAACTGTCTTTGTCATATGGAGGATGGGGATTAAACTTGCTTTGTTCAGGACCCGCCCATAGAGCAGAACTAGGAGTGATGGATAGAAGGTACAGAAAGTCAGATTTATTCTCGATATAAGGGAAAACAGAGCTGCCTAAAAGTGGAATGACCTCCTTCAGTAAGTAGGGATTGTTTCTCATCTCTGAAGGTCTTTAAGTAAAAGCCGAATGAACCCTTGTCAGCGTGTTGTTGTTGAGATTCTTATGTAGCTACTATTTGGACTAGATGAACTTTGATGTCCCTCACAGCTCAGAGATTCTGTGATTTTATAATAGTGAGGAATTTAAAAGGGGGTTTGGGGATCAGGATGGTGACCCAAAGGCTCCCACCTGGTTTGGGGAGCATCCTTTCCTCCTTGGAGGAGGCATCTCTAAACACATTTTGGACAAACATGAAGCTGTTGCCTGGGAGACTTGTGACCTAACCAAGTAGCCTGTAGTTAAGGTCTGTCTGCCCATTATAACCGAGGGAATAGGAGAGAGACAGAAAGAGAGGAAGAGAAAAGGCATGAGGGCAATAGCCTGAAATTCCTTATCAGTCTGTCATCTCAAAGGTCAACTCTTTAATGGAGGAGAAATGGTTGTTATGGGAAGAGTTGCCTCTGGGCTCCCTCCAGTGGTCAGAGTGGGTACAGAGCTTGGGACATTTCTTCATTCAACAAATACTAGAGGGCTCTATAGGTTTACGGAGCGTTCAGGGAGGAATAGTACTTTTGGTGTGAGGGCTGCCGCACCCTTTTCAGGGCTGCTCATTCAGCTCTCAGCTGGGACTCCAAGAAGCTATAGCAGGCACAGCAGCCACATCCGGTAAATCTTCTTGGGCAAATGGGCTAAGCCAGGTGTTAAGGGTAACAGGCCTCAAACCCCAAGAGTTAGGGAGATGTCTACCCCAAGCATGTGAAGACTTTCCCTGGCAGAATAAGTGGATGAGAACAATTTATTCCAATGGCCATGAAGGCATTTGTCAGGCACAGAAAGCACCAAGGTCATCCATTGAATACTGGGCCATTGCCAGTCACCTGGACTCTCGTCCTTCCGCTGGACTTTGATGACTCTGGAAGAGACAGGGGGCAAATGAGCAATTTAAGACTCCTGATGTCATTGGTCCTCTTTGCAAATGAAGGATGAACAACTACCATTATAGGGTTCTATAACTTTCCGTTATCACACAAGGTGATATCGGGGGTTTCTCTGCAGGGGTGGGATTCTACTCATGGCTGACCTCCCTTCCTACCTCCAAGCACACCTTACTGGCTAGGAAATCATTTTTTGCTAAAAAGAAAAAAGAACTGCAGATGAAGATTTAAACTAATAGTGGAGGAGTGTGTATCTGCTTAGCCTTATGGAGCTAAAGGTGTGAGGCTATCACTTCAGTTAACTCATAAGCCAGGTGAATGTGTTCCCATCCTTCCATTATTCATTTAGGGAGATACTTAAGAGAGCAAGGATTTCCCAACTTAGAGCTGGGAAACCAATGGCCTGAGCCACTAAAGAGTTAAGGAAAAGGGGTTGGGTTGGGCAGGGCCACACTATCAGAACTTGGGCCCCAGTCATCTCTCACCAGGCTGGTAGTGCCAGGCAAGAGACCCAACTTGGAAAAAACAAATAGGTGAATGCATGTGAATCAGAATGAAAATACCCCCTTGAGGTTCCCTACCCCTTCACTTCTGGACCCAGAGACAAGTCACAGTGCATGCTCACTTTCTGTTAGAGCTCTCTCCTTGGTCCTGTTCTCCTGGGCAATGTTATGGTAGCTCCCTTCCCTGAACCACCCCCCCCATCAACTTTTCATTCCCCTAGGTCACGTTGCAGAGGCAACTAGGTAGCAAAGTGGATAAAGTGCCAGCCCTGGAGTTGGAAGGACTTGAGTTCAAATCCCTGGCCTCAGACACATAATAGCTGTGTGATCCTGGGCGAGTCACGTAACCCTATTTGCCTCATCTGTAAAATGAGCTGGAGAAGGAAATGGCAAACCACTCCAGTGTCTTTGCCAAGCAAACCCCAAATGGGGTAATGGAGAGTTGGGCACTCAATGACAAAGGCCATGTTGCAGCCAGGCAGTAGCTCAGTTTTGAAAAACCGGAGGCCAAAATGCTAGAAAGGAGAGAGTAGGAACATGTGAGAGGAGCCAGGGCAGACAAAGAGGGGCCAGTTGGAAAGAAGTTAGGGTCCTAGAACCTGCAGAAGCCACACTTATTCAAGTCCAGACTTAAAATCAGCCAGAAGACTCTACCAAGTGTTTCTAAGGGGTAGGCCCCCTCTCCTCTACACTTTGAAAACAAAACAAAGCCAACCCTTTCCTAGCCCAAGAGCCACAGGCAATGAGACCTGTTCACCTAGCCCTCTTCCGCAGGGCAGAGATTCCCACTGGCCCCAGCCACCAGGGACTTTGATCAGATTGGAGCTGGAAAGAGGAGCCGGTAGACTAGACAATTCTTCCCCTAAGTAGTTCTGCTACTTGGCTGTTACCAGCTTGGCTCAGGTGGAACAAGCATGCATTACTGTCTCTTCTCTGACCTGTCTCCTTACTGCAGGTCTATCTGGTTTCCAAGCAGTTTGAGTTTAACCTGGAATGAACCAATCAGGATGGGGAAGAGATAGCGACAGCTTAACCCAGGGCACCTAGTGGATAGAGTGCTTGGCCTGGAGTCAGGAAGACCTGAGTTCAAATCCAGCCTCAGACACAAACTTAACCATATTTGCCCGAGTTCCTCATCTGTAAAATGAACTGGAGAAGGAAATGAAAGACCACTCCAGTATCTTTGCCACAAAAAATCCACACGAGGTCACAAAGAGTACAACACGACTGAAATGACTGAACAAAAACCCTTACCCAGGGTGGATGTATGAGGCTGAGGCACTCTATTTCCATATTGAGGTTTTTATTGAATCAGTGATGATGCAGCAGGATGGGGCACAGGAGACCCCAGACTGAATGCTAGGGCCAGGCCCAATCCAGATACCCGGATCCCCACCCCCAATCCTCAGTCCCACCCTCTCCCTGACTCCTAGTGGGTCTGGGAGCTTCCCAACTAAGCTAATTCCCATTCTATCTAACCACCTAGTGAGCTATCCCCCTACATCTAGCAATTCGCCATCTCCAGGAGTCCAGCAGATGGCACTGGTGCATAGGCAGTCAGCTCTCTGCCTATTCTCCTCTGATTCTCCCAAAGACTTTCAGAGGGCATAGGGAAGGCCTGCTCTTGGCTGTTGGCTCCTACCCCTTATTTGAAAACTTTTTCAGGGATATTTTCCCAGAAAAAGACAGAATACTCAATTCTTCTTTCCTAGCTCCCTCTCCTAAAGCATAGAGGTTTTTATTTTTAACTCAGCTTCCAAGAGAGGTTTTGTATTCAATTTCCTTTTCTGAAACCAAATATCTGACCCTAACCCTTCTCCCTTCCCCCTCCCCCCAAAAAAAACTCTACCTATGTCTCTAGGCTGCTTATCCCCACCCCCTCCCAATGTGACCCTCTTCCTGCTTCCTGGGGTTCCATGGTCAGCGCCGCCCAGCTGCATGTGTCCGTTGGTGACGAATGAGGTCAGAGCTCTGTGAGAAGGCCTTGCCACAGTCGTCACACTTGTAGGGCCGTTCACCACTATGGACCCGGTGGTGCTGCAGGAGGGTGGAGGAACGGCAAAAACCCTTTCCACAGATAGCACACTTATAGGGCCGTTCACCTGTATGGGAGCGCTGGTGCTGAATCAGAGTGGATGAGCGATTAAAGGTTTTCCCACAGTCGGGGCAGCTGTAGGTTCGGCCAGGTAGGTGGGTGCGGGCATGAATGGCAAGCACAGAGCTCTGGCCAAAGCGTTTCCCGCACTCAGGGCACTTGAAGGGCTTTTCTCGGGTGTGGCTTCGGGCATGAGGGGTGAGGGCTGAGCGCTGTGAGAAGGACTTGCCACATATGCCACAGCTATACGGCCTCTGCCTGTGTGGACACGCTGGTGGCTGCGAAGGGAGGAGTTCTGGCTGTAGCACTTGCCACAATCTGGGCAACTATAGGGTCGCTCATGGCTATGGGTGCGCTGGTGGCGCAGGAGGTAGGAGCTGTCGCCAAAGGCCTTGCCACAGTACGGGCACTTATAGGGCTTCTGGCCTGTGTGGGTCCGCTGGTGGCGGAGCAGGTAGGAGCTGTCAGCAAAGGCCTTGCCACAACGAGGGCACTTATATGGCCGTTCACCTGTATGTGTACGCTGATGCTTGATGAGATCAGAGCTTTGTGAGAAGGCTTTGCCACATACTTCACACTTGTAAGGTTTCTCTCCCGTGTGGATACGCTGGTGTTGAATCAGTGTGGAGCCCCGCCCAAAGCTCTTCCCACAGATACCGCAAATATTGGGACGTGGGGGCTGCCTACCTTGACCTCGAGGGCCCCCACCACGCCGAGACTGGTTGTGGATGGTCTCGGTGATGCTGAGAGGGTTCTCCTGAAGTATCTCAAACCGGGAGTCAGTGAGCAGGGTCCCTGAGGGCATCTCAAAGGTGGTCCCCAGTGGCAGGTCCCTAGGGGGTTGATCCTCATACCCTTCAGTGTAGGAGTCCAGGGGATCATCCTCCAGGGAGAGATCAAGAGGATCCTTTTCCTCAGGGCTCAGGGGCATCTCAGGAATTTCATCAAAACCTGGACTCTGAGGTTCAACTCCAAAGGGTATCTCTTCAACGTCTTCATTCTCAGAGTCTTCTTGCTGAGGAATCTCTTCCTCATTCTCACTCACACTCTTCCGTCTGCCACACTCGCTGCCTGGGGAAAGAAAAGTAGTCTGAACCTCATCTTCCCTACACTCTCTACTCCGATTTCCACTGCCTGGTGTTCTGTCTCAGCCCTCATTCCCTCCCCCCCTTCCTCCCCAATTCCAGGTATTCCCTCCCCGATCAGCAGAGAGCTCCAAGCCGGAGGGGCACCGCGCCTCTCACCTGTGGGGGTGCCTCTCTGGCTCTCTGTCTCCTCGGGACTCTGGGGATCTAGGCCCCACGGCCTGGCCTCTTGCTCCATCTTAGAAATCAGGAGCCGAGGGAAGCCTCTGGAGAAGAACAAGAGTAATTTTCCCTCTCCAGCCCTCCAGGTCTGAGCTCCCCCTTGGCGTGGGGCCCCGGGTGCCCCCGCGGTCCGGGAAGAGTCACCTGAGCGGCGGGCTCCCCGCAGCCCAGGGCAGGCGCGGGAGCGGGTGCGTGTGCGCGCGCCTCTGGGGCCCTGCTCCCCTTCCCAGAATCCAGATGTCTTGACCCCAGGCCTCCAGCTCTCCCTCCCCGGAGCCCCGCCCCCCTCCCCTCCCCCTCCAGCTCACTCTTTCCCACTTTCCTCCCAAGGCCCCCGTCCCCTTTCAGAATCTAGGCGGCCTGAACCCGAGGATCGACGGCCCTCCGGCCCCTAGACACCCTTCCTGGGACCCAGGTGTTGGTTGCCCGGCTCCCCAGCCCCTTGCTGGGCTGCGGCCGCCCAGCCCCCTTCCCCCGCCCCCTGCACAGGAAGTGTCCGGATCGGCCGGCTCCCCGCTAGGCGGGCGCCGCTGCCGCTCTAGGATGCCCCGGAGGTGCGACTCGGTGGCATTAACCCTGTGCAGGGCCGACCAAGCCCCGGGCCCCTGGGTGCGAGCCTCAGCAGGTGCTAAAGGAACAGCAGCACCTGCCGCGTGGGGCAGGGATAGTGGCCTGGACGCTCCGTCCCAGATCCTAGGCCGGCTGTCTGTCCGTCTGTCTGCTGGTCGCTTGGTCCGTGCAAGCGTGCCCCGGAGCTCCGGAGCAGCAGCCCCCACACTCTAGGGACGGCGAGGCGAGAGACAGCTGGCCCTACGGGCTCGTGCCCTGGCTCTGGCTCAGCGATCAACCTCCGCCGCCGCCCCTTCCCTCTGACCCGGAGACGGCGAGATCTCCGCGACGCGCCTCCTCCGGCCTTCCAGCGAAGCACGGGAGCGGCGTGGCGGTCAGCGGAGTCCCCCGCGTGCCGTTGGGAGAGCCCCTTCATGCCGCCCCCGCTAGTGAGCACAGCTCAGGCCCAGGCCCCCCTGACTCACCCGGCCCTCCCCCACCCCGCCTTTCGCTCATCCCCTCTCTCACAGCCCTCTTCTCCAGCCCTAATTCCACCCCTCCTACAGCCTGCCCCTCCCTCCAGTCTAGGATCGTTGCCAAGGAGACGGCTCCGCCTCCGGGGCGGAGCGAGCTGGATGGCCTGGAGGCACCGCCTTGCTTCATCCGAAAGGGGCCAGCGATTGGTCTCATGGCTCGGGTGCCCCGCCCATTTTCCTCTCTCCCCGCCCCTTTCCCGCCTGTTCGGGGGCGTTAACCGTCGCTCCAAGGCGCGAGGAGCCTCCAGCGGAGCCTGATTGGCCCGAAGGCGCTCGCGGGGCGAGGTCTTCCACCTTCCGCGAAGGGCTTTGGGGGGAGCCCCAGACCTCCTGCGGTCATTCGGGTTCCTTAAGTGGTCCCTACTCTTTCCGCCTCAGTTTTTCACCCTATCTGACAAATGAAGGGGAAAGCCACCCCCGACTACCCCTTTCCTCTGCGTTCCCCAAGTCCCGCCCCCCACCTTCCCATTCCTCACTCCCACTCACCCACACCTCGAGACCCTTCTCGGGATGCCCCCGGATTCCAGACGCTAAGGGGTTAACGCTGCCCACCTTCTATAGCCAGGAAATCCTAGAGAGGACCTAGACTGGGGGGGGGGTACCGAGCGCTTCCTTCCGCTTCCTGTCTCGTCCAGCGACCCTCCCGCTTCCCCCTCCCCCAGCTTGGTCTAAATCTCTGGACTCCTAGGTGCTCAGCTTCCTTTTCCCTTCTTCTTTCCCCTCTCTGACACTCGTTGCCAAAGGGGTAAAGGATCCGGGGGGAAATGGGACTCTGAGAGGTGAGTGCATCGGAGGAGGGGGGAGCAGGACGCCTGCGTTTGTTGTTCGGAAGTTAGTCGTGGCCTACTCTCAGTGACCCCATGGACTGTCCGAGAGGTTTTCTTGGCAAAGATACTGGGTGTGATTTGCCATTTCCTTATCCAGTGTGACCCCATTTTACGGATGAGGAATTGAGGCCAATAGGGGTTAAGTGACTCGCCCATATAGTGTCTGACACCGGGTTTGAACTTAGATCTTCCTGACTCCAGGCCCAGTGCTCTATCCACTGCCCCCCACCTAAGTTTAGGGAAAGGTGGAGGGGGGTGGTAGAGAAAGAGGAAAATGTGGCCTTTTCTTTTTCTGCAGCCAAGAACTTCCCAGATCTCGTATCTAGATGAATTAGGTCGGGAAATGGGAGTGGAGGTGGCTGGGGTCCTGCCAAAATCACAACCCGAGAGAACTGGGCACTAGTCCAAGCTAACAAGTGTTATTAGGCACCTACTGTGTTTAAGGCACTGGGAGTACAAAGACTAAACAATGAACAGAACTTGGCCTCCGGGAACTTACATTCTAGGGGAGTAATAGGGTAGATGCAGTGTGCCAAGAGATCAGTATGTGCCTGATAATTCCAGGAGTAAGAAGAGAATGCTGAAAGCGAGGATAAGAAAGTCTTCATGGAGGTGACTGGGGGGATTCTAAGAGGTACAGGGGACAGGGACAGTGTGGGTGAAGGCAAGGAGGCAGGAGATGGAGAAAGCAGGTCAGTTCAGTTAGAAGTAAAGTCCATGAAGGAGTATAATGTCTAATAAGTCTAGATGAGTGCATTGGAGGCAGATTGTGAAGGGCTTTGTGTATATTATATGCTAGAGGCAGTAGGGAGCCACTGAAGGTTCCTGAGTAGAGGAAAACACAACATGGTGGATGAAAGAAAACTTGATTTGGAGTCAGAGGACCAGAGTTCAAATCACCAGTTTGCCACTTACTATGCATGAGGCATTGGGCAAATTATTTCCCCTTACTGAGCCTAAATTTCATTGTCTGTAAAATAAGTGGGGGGTTGGGGGGACAGAAGAACTAGATTGATCTCCTAGGTCCTTTCCAGCTCTAAGTCTCTGATCCTATGACATGGTTAGATTTGTGCTTTAGGAAGATTACATAGGGAGAAAAGATTGGAAAGGGAAGAGACTGGAAGTAGGACGTCCATTTAAGAAGCAGTTGCAATAATGTAAGTGAGAAGTGATTAGGGTGAAGCATCTGATGATAACCTTCATGTTTCAGTAGTATTTAAAGATTTAGAAAGTATTTTGCCACAACTCTGAAAGGTAGGTTGTGCGGTGTTATTCCTGTTTTTTAGATGAGGAAACAACATGTCCATGAACATATCTCCACAAACACTTGGAAAACTAAGTGTCAGAATCGGGATTCAAACCTGGTCTCCTGACTCCAAATCTAGTTTTCTTTATATTCCTGTACCACTGCTTTCAGGGAAATTGAGGTGAAATGTAGGTCTCTAGAATTGAAGGGAGACCCTGTAGCACTTGGCCACCATGCCCTGTGGAGAACGGATTGTTTGTGTGGTATGTTCTTTGTGAGTGTGGTAGGAACCATTCAGGGTAGGCCTGCTGTTGCTGTTAATTAGAGACTCTTGAATCATTCTTCTTGCTGCTTTTTTAGCCTGGATGCCTAGGAGAAGAAGCTCAAAAAGAAAGGGAAAAGCTAGAAGACTATTTCTGAAGTGGCTTGCATCTGGATTCCCCTTTCTTACCATTGGAACTGAGAGTAAGAATGAGAACCCCAGATGGGAAAGGCCAGGGTATAGGGAAATTTTCAAAGAAAATCCCAGGTCTGGGGACATAGAGTGTCCCAAAAGTCATAGTTCCATTTTAAGCTATTAAAATTTACAACAATGTTTATCATCAAAGTGTTTCCAGCTTTCCAATATGTTTAACTCTCAAACAGAAGATGACCTTGGCAAGGATACAGAGATTAAAGATGATTTCATTGAAACTTTAATAACTTTAAACTGCACTAAGACTTCTGGGATACCCTGTCTATATTGTTTCAGAAATTAAATAGGGACACCTTTTCTGTCTTTAGACATCCAAGTGGCTGCAGGGTTTTTGGAAAGGATTTTGTCCAAAGTTCCCACTTGGTCATTCAGCAAGCATCAGAAAACCCCCACAGATGAGAAATCCTATAAAAACTCTGACTTTGGGAATAACTTCCCATAGAAGTCATACCCAGTCACCTACCATTATATTCAAATGGTTTAGAAATCCTAGTAGTGGTCAGATTACCCTAAGGGCTTTTCCCAGAATATTAATATCATACATAAGATAATGCACACTGGGGCATAATCATAGTCCTGCCAGTTCTGTAACAAGACCTTTAGCCATAGGCCTGATCAGAAGCCCTACATGAATCCTGAGGGGCAAGGGCTTCCAAATTGCTTCAGCAGCAGTTTTCCCATATGAGGGAGCAGCCTCCCTAATGGCTAGAGCATATGAAATTTCTAACCAATCTTGTCAATAACAGTGTCACTGCAGTCAGAGGCAGAAGAGCCTACAGATGTCTCAGCTATGGGAAATACTTTAGGGGTAAGCTCATCCCTCCTCCAGCGTAGATGTGTTCGTAGTGGCACGAAGTCTTAGCAAAGCACTAACTCTGGGAGGACCTCACCTCCAGGTTTAGTCACTGGTCTACAGAGGAAATGTAGCAGTGGGGTGTGTCACTGGGTTTTGGGTCAGCTAGGCTCTCGCTCTGCATACAGGTCCTGAGTATAAGAAAGGATTCTATATGAACCCTGCTCTTGTTTTTGCACTAGAGAACATACCTGGAGAAGAGACAGCAAGAGGCTTTACTCAGAGAAAATCGTCAAGTGTAGATGGGTCCAACCATCGGAGCATTATGTGTCATTTGGAGCTCTGGGGCAATGGAGAGCTTTGTGGGAAAATAAAGAAGTAAGGGTCTCTGGATGCATTCCCTTGCCTGGTATGATGGGAACTGGCATGTGGCCTCTAGGTCCTCAAGTCATTTGTTCTATGAAGTTTGGATTCAGTCAAAAGGCTGCACTTGAGGACTTAAGAGGGCCACATGTGGCCTTGAGGTCACAGGTTCCCCACCCCTGTGTCTGAAGATAGACCATGTATGGCTTTTTAAAGGAGATCTGGAAATTCATGCATGAACGATGACTGCCAGGTGCCAGTTGGCAGGGATGCCAAAATTAATGCTGGTGAGATCTCTGTTGGATTTGGTGGATTAAGACCCTTAACATTCCACAGTCCAGTGCAATGGCTCCCAGGGAAAATCTCTATCAAACTCACATGCTGCAAAGCCAGTATCATGGGACACTTCGGTGAGTGTAAAGGAAATGCTGTCTATTCCTTGGGTAGAAGTATCTAATGCTGGAGTTTGGATTCAGTCCTAATCATGTTAAAAGGGGGAGCAGATGAGAGAGACTGAGAGTACTGCACTAACAGGTGCTCACCCATTAGCTATGGATTCAATGTTGGGAGGTAGCATCATAGGATAAAGAGTGTGACATGACTGGGCTTGTGGCTACTGGTAAATGTTTGTGTTCAGGGAAAGAAATGGTTCATCAGCCAGTTAGGCAGCCAGTCTGAATGTGGGCCTTGTGTTCTATCTACCATGAGTCTGAACTGGTTTAAGTTTGGGCTGCATTCTAAGTTGGTTCTCAGAATCTAGTGGTGAGGGCCTTAAGCTCTCGAGGCAGCATGCAGTATGGTAGAGAACTGGTTCTAGAGGCTGGAGGAAGGACAAGCTTCTTCTCTTCCCTCCATACCCAGGTCCCTCTACTGCCTAAACTCAGGTGTTAGCCCAAACCTCAGTCTCCTCTATCTCCCTTTCCAAATTATTAAGGATTCAGTGAAGTATGATACTAAAGGGGTTAGGAGGGTTTTTTTCTTGTTTCTTCCATCTCTACGTCATCCTTCCTAACATTCTTCCATTCCTGCTGCAGTAAGGAGGAAAAATATATAAAACACAACTGTGACTGAAGGGGGTGGGTGGGGGAGGGAAGAGACTCAGATCCCCAGCTATACTATCAAGACACAGAGGCAGTTCTTAGGAAAACTCCTTTACTGTCCTACACTGTACAAAGGAGGGAGGTCCTGGCCCTAACACAGCCAGGAGCTACAGATATATACGGAAGTTCCCTGCTAGGAACCAACTGAGGAAAGAGCCAGGACAGGGTCAGGCTCAAAACTGAGAATTCAGGGAGCCTTTGGCACAGGGGCAGTGTCAGAGATGTGGCTTTAAAGGATGGCAGACTCCAGGAGAGGCCATGAAGTAGCTCAGGGGACAGAGCACTGGGCCTGGAGTCAAGAAGACCCGAGTTCAAATCTGGCCTCAGACACTTACTAGTTGTGTGACCCTGGGCAAGTCCCTTAACCTCTGTTTGCCTTAATCCACCAGAGAAAGAAATAGCAAAGCACTCTAGTATCTTTGCCAAGAAAACCCCATGAACAATATTGGTGTGCTGTGGTCCACAAGGTCACAAAGGGTCAGACACTACTTGAACAACAAACTCCAAAAGGGAGGGGGAAGATAACCATCCTCATTCATTAGGCCCTCGGGGAGTTGGTACAGCAACTCTGTCCATTGTGCAACTCTTTGACTTTCTCAAACCATCAGAGGAGGCAAGAGCAATAGGTTTTATGTCCATCCCTAGGCTCTACCTTTCAGACTCTCAGTCTGATCCTGAACCATCTTTGGATCTTTGGTTTCTCCCATCCCATTGTCCTTAGCCAGTCACCCACATTCCTGGAAGATCTCTGGGTAGTGCTGGAAGCCCACTGGGGGATCTAAGTCTCCCTGGATAGAGACAAGTTGCATAGGTAGCACCTCAGACAACTGGCCCCTCCTGCCCCCAGCACCAGGCCGATGGATCCACTGATGTTTGGCTACGGCTGACTTCTGGCTGAATCGCCTCCCACACTCAGGGCAGGAATAGGGCCGCTCACCACTGTGAATTCGTCTGTGAGCAACCATTTCTGAACTCTGCCGGAAGCAGCGTCCACAATCTGGACAAGGGAATGGCTTTTCACCTGTGTGGGTACGCTGGTGGCGCCGGAGGTCTGAGGCATGGGCAAAGGCTCGGCCGCAGTCAGCACAGGGGAATGGTGTCTCACCACTGTGGACACGATGATGCTGTGAGAGGGCTGAACTCTGGCTAAAGCGTCGGCCACAGTCAGCACACTGGTAGGGCTTCTCACCAGTGTGGACACGGAGGTGAGTGGTAAGGGCTGAGCGCTGAGTAAAAGCTCGGCCACAGTCGAGGCAACGATGAGGCCGTTCTCCCCGGTGGATGGCTCGGTGCTTGCTTAATGAAGAAGCCTGGCTGAAGCCTTTGCCACAGTCAGGGCAATGAAAGGGCTTTTCCCCAGTATGGGTGTAAATGTGCTCCACCAGTGTGGAGCGCCAGGCAAAGTGCTTCCCACATATGTTGCAGCCATGGCGTTTGTCAGTCCTGGGAGCTGGAAGGTTGACCCGCAGGCTGGGCTTTGTGGGAGGGCGGCCCCGACGGGGAGCAGGAGGAAGGGCTGGCTGATGCTTGTGTTCTCCAGTCCTAGTTGTTTGCTGTCCAACATCTTCCAGTCTCCTGATCAAAGTTCGTTCCTCAGCTCCAAGCATCTTCCTGTTCTCCTTATTCTTGTTCTTAGCTCCTGCTGGATAAAGAATAATTCAGACTCCAACTTATTTTGCATATTTTTATTTTAAAAATTTATTATTTTATATTTCCCCAGTTACATGTAAAAACAATTTTTAACATTCATTTTTAAAACTGATTTCCAAATTCTCTCCCTTTCTCCCTCCCTCCCCACCCACCCCCATTGAGAAGGCAAGCAAATACATGTGTAGTGATACAAAACATTTCCATAATAGTCATGTTGTGAAAGAAAACATAAGCAAAAAAAAAACCCTCAAGAAAAAGAAAGTTAAAAAGTATGCTTCAATCTGTATTCAGACACCATTTTTCTCTGGGGATGGGTAGCATTTTTCATCATGTCCTTCAGAGTTGTCTTGGATCAGTGTATTGCTGAGAATAGCTAAGTCATTCACAGCTGATGATCTTAAAATATTGCTGTTACTTTGTACACAGTACATTTCACTTTGCATCAGCTTATGTAAGTCTGTCTGGTTTTTTTCTGAGAGCATCCTGCTCATCATTTCTTATAGCACAATAGTATTCCATCATAATCACATACCTCAATTTGTTCAACCATTCCCCAATTGATGGGTAGCCCCCTCAATTTTCTATTCTTTGCCCCCAGAAAAGATTTTGCTTATTCTTAAAAATTCTTTGTAGTGCTATTTTTTTGCTTTTATATCACCTATATCTTCCCCTTGCTGTCACCCCCACCCCCCAATCATCTCTTATAACAAAGAATTGTTTTATTTTTGAATCCTATTGCCCACTGTTGGGGGAAACAACACCCTCCACCAGCCTCACTGTCACCCTAATAAGCATAACAGTCAGAACTTAAGTCTCGGGATTCCAAGACCAGCACTTTGCACCCATCCCTCACCTCCACAGGTTACTGCCTTCTCCCATTCACCCTCGGGAGACTTGGCATCGGAGTCCCACGCTTCTTGTTCCATCCAGGAGATGAGCGCTGGTTTGGGACCTGGAAATCCTGAGGGGAGGGGGGGTGGGGGGAATGGACACAGAAAATTATGGCGGAGGGTCCCAGAATGATCTGATCCCTCGTCAGCCATTCTGGCAGTCCCCTCCCCTCTACCCACAGGTACCCTGGCCCGCCCGGGCCGCGCCCCTCACCCAGCGCGCCCAGGTGGCCGTAGGTCTCCCGCATGACGTCCCGGTACAGGGCCCTCTGAGCGGGGCTCAGCCGTCCCCACTCCTCCGGGGAAAAGTACACGGCCACATCGGCGAAGCTCACGGGCCCCCTCGCCCCTGGCCCGGGCCCGGCCTCGCTCATCCTCCGCGGCGCAGACTGGATGGGGTAGCCCTCTTTTGGCTTCAGCTACCTTGGGCAGCCCCGGTTCTGCCCACACAGGATGGGCGGGAACCGAGAGGACCAGAAGTGTTTGCTAGACCGCCGCCGTGACCGTAGCCGCGGGAAGCCGGTGGCATTTTCCCCTGTTCCCACTGGGCTGGCGGTGGCTGTGATGGGGGTGGGGGGTGGGGGGAAATGGGAGCGAAGTGTGCCCTCAGAAAAGATGGCGGCGCATCAGCTTCACTGCCCTTCCGCCCCAGGCAGCGGGAGCCCCCCCACTGCTTTCAGATATTGACCTTACCCAAGATGGCGCCACTGCGCTTCGGTCTCTGCTCGTGAAAAGTTCACGGTCATTGAAAAGCTGTCCCCCAGCGACGTCCGCACGAACCGCCAACCGGAGGTGGCGCATGCAGATTAGACCCTGTCGAGACTTCGAAAGACCCTGTTCCTGTTTCAGAAATAACAGTTAAGAGAAGAATGTGTGCCTTTTCCTGGGTTTCATCCACGGGTGTCTGCTGCATCCATGAACCTTGGCTATCCGTAGCAGATCCTCCGATTCAATCCTCCCATTTTACAGATGCTGGAAACTCAGGGCCAGAAAGGTTATGACGCGTCAGAGAGTCACACGACAAATACAAGACTCCTGCAGTTTTCATTATTCCAAGAAACCCAAGCCCTCAAGGAGGTTTTGGTGTCCGGCTGCTCTTACTCTAGGTCCAGATTCATTGCAAGCAGGCAGGAGCAAAAAGGGCTTGCAGGTATGGGGTCCTTCAAACGTAATACAAAATACGAGAATATGATACTAGTACGGTGAGGGAGACCAAAGGAGACAGTCAGAAATTCATTGGCTGAGGTTAGGGATGATTTTTGAAGGCAACACAAACTTCTTTTCCTCCGAGGCTTCTTTCATGAAGGCATTCCCTCCCCTACATGAGTGAAGGCTTCTTGTGACAGAGCCAAACTAATTTGTCTGGAATATAGGGTACAATTGAGAGAGAAAATAACCTGAGGCTGGAAAATTAGGTTACAGATAATGAAGAGTCTTGAGTGTCAGGGCTGAGTTGGAACTTTGTTTAACAAGGGTAATGGTCTGATCAAAGTGATATTAGGAAGATTAATCTATTGCTTGTATGCAAAATGAGTTGGAGTGCAAGAAATAACTGTATTATGAATTAATTTAAGTGGTATGGTGAGTGATTTTTAAAAAAAAACACTAAAACTAGTGTGGTGACCATGAAAACTGAAGAAAAAGGCAGATTTGAGAAAACTGCCAAATAAAAATCCATAGAATCTGACAACAAAGGTTGTAGCTGTGTGAGTGAAAAGAGTGGAATGGATGTGAGAGATTATTTAGAGACAAAATCAATCCAGTATGGCAGTGGACTGGTTCTGGGGTGTGAAAGGGGAGAATTTAGAATGATTCCATAGTTATGAACCAGTGTAACTGGAAGCATGCTGATGCTCTCAACAGAAAGACAGAAATTAGGAAGATGGGAGGGCTTGAAGAGGGATGAGAATGAATTCTTTTAAAATATATATTAACTTTGGCATACGTATGAAATTACAGCTGTAAATGTCCCAGTAGGCAGTTAGTGATGTGAGACCATAGCGTTCAAGAGAAAGACAAGGAAATATAGATCTGACATTGTGTGTGTGTGTGTGTGTGTGATCTGCATAGTAAGAGAACCAACAGAGAAGTGTCATGAAAACTCAGGAAGACAGAGGATCATAGAAAGGAGTGGTCAGTAATGTCAAATGCTGTGGAGAAGTCAAGAAGGATGAGAATTGAGAGAGGGTGTTGGATCTGGCATTTAAGAGATGATGGGTAACCTCAGAGAAAGCAGCTGAGTAATGATTTAAGAAACCAGACTGTAAGAGATTGAGACTTGAACAAGAAAGTTGAGGCTACATGTAAATAATAGATAGCTTTATCTGGGAATTGGGCTGAGAAAGACCAGGCATCCAGGTCCGGTGGAAAGGGGGCTGAATCTGTAGTCAGAGTACCTAGATTTGAATTTTGCTGTCACTTGCTAACCTGTCACTTTATCTCTGGATCATAGCTTCTTTTTCTGTAAATCGAGGTGGTTGCACTAGATGGCCTCAAAGGGCCAATCCAAGTATAAATCCATGATCGTATGAGATAACGAGGTCAAGGGAAGGCTTTTTGATGATGGAGGAGATGAGCATACTGGCAGGCTGTATGGAAGGAGTCCATAGATGGGAGGGGGGATGACAACCGTGATGGCAGCCTGCTGAGGGAGACTGAAAGAGGTGAGATCAAGGGCACAAGAAGAGAGGTTGGCCTTGATGAGAAGGGCCACCCCTTCATCAAGAGACTGGAGCAAAGGAAGGGATGAGGGATATTTAGGGATTTCAAGATAGGGAAGTCTTAGAGATAGAAAAGAATGTAGCATAGGAAGAGATGAGAAGGAGAGAGTTGCCTTCATTACTACACCTCTGGAGTCCTGGTTTCTTAGTCTAGCTCTCCCACTTGGCAGCTGTGTGACAGGCTGTGACCTTACCTCTGTGTGGAAGTCACCACATTCAACAACAAATTTAACATTCACTAAGTTGACTTACTATGTGTGAGTTACAGAGTTAAATGCTAAGGATGCAAAGGGAAACATGAAATAGTCCGTCCTCAAGAAGCTTACAGTTTTGGAGGATGGGTTAAACTAGATGGTCATTAAAGTTTCTGAGCTCTCACTTTCTAAGGTCTGTGGGCTACTTTTGCAACCTCACCCATCTCTGAATTTTGCACTTTGACCAGATTTGGTTTCCTCACTGTCCCACTGCAATGTAACTTTTATCTCCACTACCTCCTTGATACTACTCTCTCAAAAGTCACCAGCATCTTCCTAATCACTAAATCCAATGTTCTTTTCTTAGTCCTTATTCTTTAACTCTGTGTAACATGTAAAACTCTTAACCATCCCCTTTCTTCCTGAAACGCCTTTTCGCTTTGGAAACCAGTCCTCTATCCTTTTCACTGATCTTTCTTCCTTTGCCAGCGCCCAAACTATAAATGTTCCCCAAGATTTTGCCCTTGGTTCTTTTCTTTTCTGTAGACGGTACCTGTTCCAACTTCAGCTGTGACCTCTATGAGCATGACTCTCAAATCTATTATCTTCAGCCTCCAAAACTCCAGTTCTGCATTTGCAATTAATCAGCAAACCCCAGCTAAGATATCTTATATGGCACCACAGACCTAGCATGTTTAAAACTCTCCTCACCCCCAAACTGCTCTCACTAATTTCCCTATTTCTGTTACAGGTATCACCGTTCTCCTAGTTACCAAGACTTAACATCTCTGGTCATCCTTTACTCTTCTCCCTTCCTTACACCAGCTCCAACTATCCAATCAGTTGATCTTCAGTCACTTCTTCCTTTTTCATTATATTTTGAATCTGTCCCCTTCTTTCTGTTTTGATTGCAGCTCCCATAATTAAGGCCCTAATCACCCCTCACTGGATGTTGAGGGCCAGCCCTAAAGAGTCTGATCTGGGTTGAAGATCCAGGACGGAGTTTGACTCTTGCCTAGTCTTGACCCCTAGGGCTCACATTCTTAGGAAGTTGGCTCACCAATCTCCTGTGCAAGGGAGGTTCTTGGAACATTCCTTCCTGCTCTTTGAACCCTTAGATTTATATACCATTCTTCCATTAAGGTGGCACCAGGGAAGGTCTTGGAATATACTGCCCGATCTATGAACCCTGATAACAAGGAAACATATGTTCTAATGTCACATATACAGAATAGGTATGGGGAGTGTCTCACGGGAATGCCTCTTTGTAGTTATGTTAGGTTTCTCTACATATACTGTAACCCTCAGATGAATAAACGGCCCAGTCCTTACTGACCCACCTGGCCCACATTTCTTCATTAAGCTCTTTCTCGTTAGGTGCCTCACTTGGAGCAGGCTGCAACTGGATCCCTGCAGTAGCCTCCTAAATGGCTTCTCTGCCATCAATCTTTACTCCTCCATCAAACATTTTATTCCCACGTTAGGGTTACATATAGCACTACTCTGATACAGCAATTCCTTTTGCTCAAAAACCTTCACTGATTTCTCGTCACCTAAGGGGTAAAATCCAAATTCTCTAGCATAGCATCTAGTACTTTCTAAAATCTGGCCTTAATCTATTTTTCAACATTGTCCCCCCACTCTTCTTCATACATACTATGCTCTGGCAGCCAAATCCAGACGTACTGTCCATTTTTCATATATACTTTGCTCCAGTTTGTCTCCACACATCTGCACATTTCAGTCGCTCTATTTGCATCTTTCTCATCTGAAATACTACCCCATCCTTCAAGGCCTAGGGCAAATATAATTTCTATTTGATCCCTCCTCATCTGAAGGGGCTTCTCTAGACAGCCATATCTCTTTATATAATTTTTTTTTTGCCTTTAGGCAATTGGGGTTAAGTGACTTGCCCAGGGTCACACAGCTAGTAAGTATTATGTGTTTGGTCTGAGGTCGGATTTGAACTCAGGTCCTCCTGACTTCAGGGCCGGTGCTCTATCCATTGTGCCACCTAGCTGCCCCCTTTATATAATTTTCATGAAGAAATCTTTTTTAAAAAGTTACTACATTTGTATGTCTTATTTTTTGCTAATAAATGATGAACTCCTTGAAAGCAGGGACTGCTTTCATCTTATTTCCTCAGCGACTACCCACAGGGCCTTCTACGTGGGAGTTGTTTAATATAACTGAAAGAGGAAAAAGAAATTCAGAATGCAAATGAAACCGCAGAGGTGGTAACACTGTGCCAACTATGTTGCCTTTAGTAACACTTGGACAACCATGTTGCCATCTGTCAGGCTCTGTCTGCCAAAGCGGCTGCTCAGATCTAGGACTCCCAGTCTTCCAAATTACTAGTTCAGTGCTTAGCACATGGTAGGTAATTGAAATACATTTGATTTCTCAGCTTTGCCTGGCCATGCTGGGACTGATTCCTATTTTTCACAAGAACAATATAAAACCACAGAATTGGAGACATTTCTCTTTGATATCGAGATCAATTTGATTTGATATCAAAGCCCCTACTGCCCCTTCTTGGCATTTGCAGCCTACTTCTGTCTACCTTCCCATTGCTAACAATCAGTTTTCGGGCACAGAGCTGTGTACACAGTAAGTGCTTTATAAATGCTTTTTCATTCATGTATTTATTCAGTGGCTATTTTCTTGATCT